CTGACTCGGTTTGCACATTGCAGGTACACTACATAAAGTTAAACGTTGGGATGAAAACAAGTTTCTTCTTGATAATTCCCTTTCGTTGTTAATGCCTTTTCTTTTCTTGCAAGGTTCTCAGTCAAGATGAGACACCCTTTCTTTACAGTATAGTGTTTGGGGAGGGTGTAGTGAATGATGCTACCTCTATTGTGCTTTTCAATTCTGTTCAAACGCTGGATTTCCACAACATTGATGGCTTAACAGTCTTAAAATTGATAGGGACCTTCCTTTATCTCCTCTTCACAAGTACTGCTCTTGGTATAGCAGTAAGTCTAACTATCATAGTCTTTTCACTGCCAAATTTTGATTGCGCCTAGCGGTAGCAGCTTCTTGGCTCTTGCTTATTTTTTGCTTGATAAATTGAGGGATGATGTTTGTGGTTTGGATCTAAATGGAAATAATGCAATTTTTCAGGTGGGTCTTTTAAGTGCTTTTATCATAAAAACACTTTACTTTGGAAGGTGAGAAATGTCTTTCAGTTCTCTGTTTCATCTAATATTGCAATGGCCTCTTTCATTTGTCTATATTTCTGTTGTCCAAATCCTTCGTCATATCTAAGTTTCTGTGCACAGCATATGGTCATGTTTTAAGTCATGAAGTTTAGGTAAATCAAAACTGTTAACTTCTTAGGGAAAATGATGGTTTCCAATATTAGATAAAAAAGTAAAGAAGGTTTGTCTAAAATCAATGGAGGGAAATGGCTAAGTCCAGTCTTCTAGTTTCATACGTGATCACAATTTTGGAGAGGCTATTAAGCTGACTTCTATTCATGTTGGACTTTGTGTATTCCAACCTGACTTGATTGTTGTCTTATCAACAGGCATTCTACTGATCGTGAATTTGCACTTATGATTCTTATGGCTTATTTGTCATACCTTCTAGCTGAGGTACTCACTATAAACTTCAAATGTTTCCTGGTAAAAGAAAGAGATGTGAAGTCAGTGAGGGAAAAATGTTTTATGGCCTATACATCTGAATGATAGCCATGCTCCCTCTCTTCCTATTCATCACTCATCATTTAGTAGATTAATACATGCCTCTAAATTTTCATTTTCATTCCTCTCACCTGAGTAGCCTTACCACTCGCCTGCTGTTACTAAGGTTAAGTTTGGGTTGAGTTTATATCTTCTAATTGGATGGGCTAGGGTTATCATCTTCTTGTCGAACCATCCTAAAATACCTTTCACCTCAAAATTCGAAAATTTCATCTTTATAGGACTGTGATGAACTAATTTCATCAAGACGTAAACTGCGGAGAAAAAACAGAAAAGAACAAAGAGCTTGTACCACTTGAATAAGTTTCCCCACTGGAATGGGATCATTGGTTGAATGTCAATTTATTTTTCTTCTTGCAGCTTCTAAATCTGAGTGGGATTCTGACAGTTTTCTTCTGCGGCATTGTAATGTCGCACTACACATGGCACAATGTTACAGAAAGCTCACGGATAACAACCAAGTAAGAGTAGAAACCTGTTTTCTTTCCTCTTAAACTTGCAGAAACTTTGGTTCGTTTAACAGTTGTATCATGAGTTTCAGTTGAAAAGGTTGTAATCTTCACGGTGGCTGATAATTTCAGGCATGCATTTGCAACAATGTCATTCATTGCAGAAACTTTCATATTTCTATATGTGGGTATGGATGCCTTAGACATTGACAAATGGAGAGAAAGTAAGGCAAGGTAAATCCTACCCATGATCTTTACAGTTTAGGCCTGAGAGTCTATGGAAATTTAGCACTTGCACAACTTGGTTGATTAACCTAGAAAAAGGACACAGTAGTTAACTTAAGCTTGCTGATGCGTGTTGGAATATATGTGCTCCAGCATCTAGCTTGTTACTCTTAAATTAGTCATTATCGCTGTAGGGTTTCATTCGAACACCATTTGTCACCTCTAACCTGTTTCACGTCAATGGTTCAGTGCAGGAACTTCAGCTGCTGTCAGCTCAACATTGTTTGCATTAGTGTTAGTTGGAAGGGCAGCATTTGTTTTTCCTATAGCAAATATCTTAAATTGTGTTCAGAAAAGAGAGAGGTCAAAAATTCATTTCAAACAACAGGTGATTATTGCATGCATGATCTAGCCAATTGCTATTATCGTGCAGTCATCGTACTCCAAACTGTGCTAACTGTTTGAAATCTCAGTTTATTATGTGGTGGGCAGGGTTAATGAGAGGTGCAGTTACAATTGCTTTATCTTATAACCAAGTACGTCATAAATTCTTAATATGTTACTTAAATTATGATGTTTGGCTTCTGGATTTCTCACTTGTGCACTCTGCAATTACAGTTTGCAAGTTATACGAGGAAGTCCCCAGAAGCTGCACTAATGATTACCAGTACCATAATCGTTGTTCTTTTCAGCACAATTGTAAGTTGTGTGTTTTTCTGATATAAGAGGAAAACATTATTTGCTCTTATTACTTGAGTTCCAATTGCACGTTAAGAATTGCAAGATTATATTTGCTGATTTTTTTATAGTCTTAGCACAGAAGTACAACGTTACTGTTTTCTAAACAGGTCTTCGGTTCGGTAACGAAACCTCTAATTGAAGCAGTGCTGTTAAGACATAGAAAACCAATGGTTTCAGATTTCACTGATAACGTAAGCCTGGAAGACTTGAGGGTACTGCTACTTGAAAGTGGTGATTCAAGTAACAGCAACAACAATCAAACAGCTCGAAGGGCAGGTAGCTTAAGGTTGCTAATAAGTCACCCCACTACAACTGTTCACTACTTTTGGAGAAAGTTTGATGACAGATTCATGAGACCAATGTTCGGCGGGCGGGGATTTGTTCCTTTTGTACCTAGTACACCCACAGGTGCAGCTGATGAGAGTTCTTCTGCGTGAAGGTTTAGCACACAATTTTTCATCTTTTTATTATTCTGTCATATATTGAAGTGATAGAAAGCAGCAGCAAATTTCATTTTCCTTCTTTCTTAGAGTTAGGCTGTGTAATTATTCAAATGATCACACAAGCTTGTATTCTTTATGTTCTCTGTTACAAAAATTTTCGAAGAAAATGCTCTTCCCTTGAGTAATATGGCATCAAATTCGAAAATACAGAAAGGTTTCCTGATGATTCCATGACAAAAATGCTGAAAAACCATGCTTAAAATAGTCTCTCTGTTGATTTGTGCCCATATATATTTGATGAACATTGAAGAACTAAATCGCTGTTAACGAACATCGATTAACACAATGGCTAATCTATGGCCTATGGGTTTAGCTCAACAATAAATAAAAGCATCGTTATAGAAAATGCTAGCCCTCTCTCTCTGGTTGACTACTTGCCATTGCCAAATTGGCAGCTACATGTAGTGGATAAATGAGGAAGTCTCTTTATGCAAAGAAAAGAGAGCAAGCAAACCTTTGTTAATCTGTAAACAGAGCTGAAACTGAAACGGCTCTCTCAAAAATGGATTTCTTTTCTTCTGTTTTTCTTGTGCATTATGCTGCATTTGAGTGCTATCGTTCTTGGTGTTGCAAGCTTGACAATACTTAGATTTCATGATGATATTTGTGGGGTTTTTTGTTTTTTTTGGATGAAACCATAGATATCCAGGTTAGTTTACATGTATATGGATTAATTTTTTTTTTGATGAAACCATAGATATCCGGGTTAGTTTACATGTATATGGATTAATTTTGAACTAATTTTTTAAAATTTTAAAATTAACAATCAACTAATTTAGTAATTTTGAGATTTTTAACACTCGAATTAATTATTTATAAAAAATAAATCTGAAACTTAATCAATTAAATTACATCTTTTAAAATTTGATAATTATAATTTTGAGTGACGAAAGCCAAAGCCATGATGGTATTTTAGTTATTGATGTGATAAAGAAATAAAAGGTAATTTAAAGTACAAAATAATTAAAAAAAATTAACTATAAAATGAGCTAAATGTTAAAAAAGGAGAGAGGGTATTCATTTAACTTTCAATTAAAAAAACATATAATTTATTTAATTTTCAATAAAAAAAATATTAATATAAATTAAAAAAATATATATAAATTTTTTTTTATCTAGTTATCAAAACCAAATAGCTTAGTTAATAGCAATCAAGTTCTTGTAAAACCAAATCTCCATCACATCTAAAGGCATAACATTAACTTTAACTGAGTGATTTCTCTCCCAAGACCTTTTTTTTAATCATTGTAGTAACTATGAACCAACATGAAAACTTTTTACCTTTGCTGGGAAATCTAAAATGAGCTGCCTTTGTCATCATTTTTGTCAGAGCACCACCAGGAATGTTACACGATCAGAGAGTGAGAAAGAGCAATTCTTCCAAAATTTATGTACCGGATAGCATAAATCTTCCAGGCTTGAATATCAGCTGCATCCTAAAGCATTTTCCAGAAGAGAGAACAACATTTTAACATGAAACATCTATAGTATCTGTTTATACAGTTATTAAACCCGACTTGATAAATTAGCTTAAAAAACTTATAATTTAAAGGTTGATTATAAGTTGAATTTATCATAACATTGACCTTGTTAACTTGATTGATTTAGAGGGTGTTCAAGCTTGTAGTAATAGTTATTTTTTAAAGTGTTTTTTTTATAGGAAATGCATTAAAATGTTTTTTTATTTTTAAAAAATTATTTTTGATATTAACACAAAAAATAATTTGAAAATACTATAAAAAATTAATTTGAAGTAAAGAAAAAATAAAAACAAATTATTTTTAAAAATAATTTTAAAATAAAAAAATAAAAAAATTTTAAACCAAATGTTTAATAATTTTATTGATCCAGCTTAAACCTAAGTTAATATTTTTTAAAAAGAGCTTGTTGAACTAAAATTAACCTAATGACTAACAACCAAATCTTTTTTCAGTGATAGCCCAAATCATGAAATTTATCGAAAGCACAGCACATTGCTTAACGTAGTGACCAGCCCAATAAACAAGGTCAAGCCCATAAATATAAGGCACGCAGACTTTCAGTAGCATATATTTTTCATCCTTAAACCCTTCAGCTGCAGGAACAAAAACCTCTCTAATCAGATCAGTGCATTTTTGAAGAGGCTACACATGATCAGTAAAGATGGCCCTATTTAGAAGATTACAAGCAGTTCGCGCACTTAATCAAACCATTGGGATTCGAGAATCTTCTTCTTATCTGTGAGTATTATTCTTCACTTCTTATTGCTCCCTTTGGTTTCGTAGAAAATGCAAGAAAAAGAAAATGAAAAGGTAAGTTTGGGTTTTGAGTGGAAAGTTTTCATCTTTTTGACTTGGAAAGAAAACCCATTTGGATATATGTCTTGTAAGGGTATGTGAGAGGTTTTTGGTTGAGGCTATGTTTGGTTGCTGAGAAAATGCAGGAAAAGTAAAAGTTTCAATTTTTTACAATATTCAGAGCTATAGCTGTTTGGCTGTAGTTCACAAGGATAGATTTCTTGTTTTATACTCAGTTTAAATGGTTTAAGAGACAGACTGGGAATTGCAAAGAAACTGTTGAATCTGGATATGGTGTTATGTTGTATAAGTATAACAAAAGGAAAAAAAAGGCTTTGTTGGGTTTTTTCTTTCTTTTTTATATTATTTGCAGAAGAATTTGATAAGTTAATCACGTTTTCAGTTTTATTTCCATTGCATTACTTACATCGTCTAGAACAAAACGATCTTTTCTTCTTATAATTTCATGGGAATTGGAGTTAAATTGTGTTTGAAGGTAGTTTTATGAAAAATGTTGCTCTTTGTCTACTCAGACTTGGGAGCTCAAGAAGCTACTCCAGTAGCTCCACTGATATTTCAAATGGTAAATTGTGTTTTTTTTGGCATTCATTATTAGTAGTTTAATTTATCTTAAATTTAATGAAGAATTTCATTGATTACATGTTGTTTTGCGCTAGGTATTAAACTTAATTCCCCAAGATTTTCTTCTTGCTTATATAATGGCCGCAATGCTCTTCCTTGGACTCATAGAAGTACAATGACTCTTCGTTCTACAATGGTAAATTTATGGAACATAAAATCTAGGTGAAAACAGGTGTAATTTTTTATTTATGATTGGAGTTTTTGCAGTGTCAATGCTTCAAATGTCTAATTGTTTAAGAGAGGATACTAATCTTATTAATTTGATGTGTTCCATTTCTTTCAGGCCATGGAGTTATCAATCTTCTTAAATGACAAGAGGCCGGCAACAACAAAAGTGAATGCCCCCCCACAAGCACGACAGATGGTGTGCCATATTTACCATTTAAACTGTCATTTATTGCACTTCCTTTCAATTTGATTTCGGAAGTGGTTTCAATGTTCATGATGTAGAACTTTTATAAGCAATCAAGTCAAACAAAAAGAAAAGTAAAGAGTGAAATAGTTCAGGGAGAAGATCCCTGCAATATGCAAGGATTTGAGTACAATAAATAGTATTTAGTAGACTAGTCATTAGCTTCAGAGCAGATATATGTGTATCTCCCTTGGCTATCTTATACTCTAAGTCTTGATGATTACTTAAATAAAAGTCTCATTCTGAGCTCAGTTAATTGTTCAAAAGGCATACTGGTCTAGCTGTAAACTTGTATCAATAAACTTATTAGATGTAAATACCGTACTTTAGTTGTGAAACTGCATTTCATTGTTCAACTTACTTGTACCATATCTCGTCCATATTCTCTATATAATCTGTTTGCAGCAAAAATATTTAGAACCAGAAATGATGCTTCAGTGTGCCAGATCAACAAAATCTTACAGTTTTGTGAGTATTTATATAATGTAAAATCATAAAACAAGCATAGATTTGTGTTCCCTGATGGAGGTAGAACATGCATTGTAGTTTGGTAATTTAGTTTGGGTGGCGTATATCCCATCTTCTCCATTGGACTTATGCATGTCCAGGACTGTCATTTGGTTCACTCAGTGCTTTTTCTGGCTAATCACTTTAACAGATTAGAAACTTTGCATCAATATTTTATTCTTATATAAGAACTTGTGTCTGAACTTGCTCCTGTTACAACTTTCTTGGATGTCCTATTATGGAGCAAGACAATAACTTCATGACTTGCTTATTTAATAATATATGCAGGGAGCTCTTAAAGTGTCCATTTCAAGTCCTGGATTCATATATGAACCGTATGCTCCTCGTGATACAATCTCATTCTGGCGGAGGTTAGTAGGATGTTAGAATGAAACTCCTCTCTAGATGTGGCTGAAGAATGGTTTAGTTGGCAGCCATGCCCTCTCTTCCAAAATGTCAAACTATTGAAAATTTCTTCCATGTTGAACTAATTATTGTTTGAACCAAATTAAACTCGGTAAATGACTTGGTGACAATGCTAGATAGTCACATAAAGTCACAGTATAAAATTTTGTTTTGTTGATAAATAATCAATGTATTAGATGCATTTGAGGATTTACTATTGAGGCTACTTGGCAGTTTTTGGGAACACAGTTAAAACCGCATTTCCCAAAAATTTGAAATTTTTTTTTTTTTTTTTGTTTAAAATTATTTTTTTATGTTTTTAGATTGTTTTGATGTGCTGATATCAAAAATAATTTTAAAAAAGTAAAAAAAATATTATTTTGATGCATTTCCTGGCGAAAAGCACTTTGAATCATAATTGTTACCATACTCTCAAACACCTTCGTAGAGGATGAGGTGGGGTGCACAAAGATTAGAATTTCAGCTCATTCAGGCCATATAGGAATTCTTCTAAGAAGTTCTTTACATTTTATTTTGATTGTATGGCAGTCAGCTTTCTTCTTTATGTTGTCTCCTTATACTGGAATGGTATTCGCCTGAAATTAATTGAAACTTCTAGCTAACTTCACTAGTTAGTGGTTTGCTTTTCTCCCGTACTCTCTTAAGAATGTAATTAGATTTCATAGTTCCTACGTCATCTGTTGAGCAGTTAGCACAAGTTCCCAGCCATCAGCACCTTTTTTCTTCTTCTCTTGTATCAGATGGTTCACAAAAAGCGGCTGGAGAAGAACAAAAAACGACATCATTTTAGAGGTGGCTATCTTGTTTGTCATTAAATTTGTAGCATTTATTTCTCCCACAAATCAACTTGCTGATTGGATTTATTCAGACTTATTTTCTCTTCAAGCACTCTAGAATTGGTTTTCATGTAAATCATATCCCGATGTGGACTTATTGTCACCTGAATTAACTTTTTTTATTCTCATGTGTGCAGCTCAAAAATGCCTACGCTATTGTTAAGTTAAGAAAAACTGGATACTCAAAACATAAGTTTTACGTAGAAGCCATCAAATTATACAAAGAGGTATCCTGATCTTCATATTTCCAAGTCCGAGCTAACCATTAAAGTCTCTCTCTGGTTACTTTGTTTTATAACTGCACTCCTGGATTCAGATCACATACTTGTTTTCCTTGTGTCTTCTTTTTGGGGGGTTTCCAGATAAACACTCTACTGGCAAATGGTGACAAAACAGCACTAAGAAAAGCAGTTACAGAGAAAATGTACTCCGTATGCACTGTCCCTTTTCCTTCTGTCACACTCCTGCTTTTTTCAGATTCGACTCTTTATTTTCTGTTCAGTTATACTGCTTTCTGCCTTTGCAGTTTAATCAAACTTGGCTTAACATACAGATTGTCTCTTGAGTCATTATTATCAGTTATGTTACTGACAGGAATTCAAAAATGAAATTAAACAAAGACAGTCTGCATGGAATATGAGCAAGCTTTATTGGGAGATGATTGAACCAGCTGTTCTGATACGAACTTTGCGAGCTCGACTGGCAAGTATTAACTTTTTTTCTTTACAATATTAATCCGCATCACACTGGTCTTCAATGAAGACAACAACTATCAAATAGTTTGCAGTTTACTTTAACATAGAAAAAGATGGCACTCTGCATGTATACTTGTCCCTGAGCTGAGGTCATTCAAATTTGGGACTCGTCCTTTTCCTCTGTACTGACTACACTTGCCTTTCTTTCCTTCCATATTTACAGATTGGTGTTGATAAGAGCGATCTCAATAAAGTTTTCATACAGCTAACACTTGAGATCAAGACAAAGCAGGTACAATTACTGTACAGGAAGGAATCTTTTTTCTGTTATGTTTTGTCATTTTCTACACGTTTGTTTTATTGCCTAAATATGCGCATGACGTGGATGTTAACTAAGGAAAATTCCCCATGGTTCAGCTTCTTCAAATACGCAGCAATATTGATCCTTGTGAGGCTATTTCATGCAATAGCAGAACCATTCATGATCGGTGACTGTAATTTTAGATCTTTTACAGTGTTGTGACCAACAACATTATAGAAGACGAAGTAAATGCAACAGAGTTTACTAATTTACATGTTTAGTTGGTTGCTATATGAGTTTTGTCACTGTTTCCACGACACCATGATTTATATTAAAATTAGTTGCAAAATGGAGGATTTTGTTGTTACATGGAAATTATGGCCTGATTGTCATGTTTCAAACTACTATCCTCATGCCTGTCTGCTTTATCTCATTAAACATTTTGCATTGACAATTTGGAAGACTTACATATTGCTAATCCCTTGCAGAAGTTCGAGGCATATGATTCTAAAGGAGCCAGAGTTGCTGGAGATAAAAATAAGGAGGTAGGCTTAATTGCATAATTATCCTTTTGGTTTTGTCCAGCCTATTTTATTAGTTCTATCCTATACTTGGAACTTTCCTTTTCTTCTATGACATTGCAATTAAAACCTGCTTGAAATCTTATTTGAAAAAATTTTATCATTCAATTCTTTGTGTGGAAAATTTAGTTTTTCTGCAATTTGATAGAGCTCATGTAGGATATGGATTCTACAATTTGGATGGTTGACCAAGGGATGTCAAGCCCCAATTGAACATCGAAGCTTACCCTAACTCCATCATTTATTTTTGTAGTATTTAGTGGGCATCTCCTGCTTGCCATGTGACATTTCACTTGAAGAAACACTCATGTTTTGTTTGATTTTTTCAAAACCATAAAATGTTGTTCAAGGAATTGCAAACATAATGTGATGGTTTGAGCACAACATTCTATCAAAATTTTGTGCTTGAGTCTATCATTTAGCATTTTCCCCATCTCCTCCGAATTATGATTGATGTCTAGTATAATTTCCAGATCCTTGTCCGCGAAATCTGGGTATTTGAGAAATCCCTTTTTCACCCTGGAGCTTACTGGCGGCTTTGTGGACGAATTAAAGCATAAGCTGGCTTCTTGTGATGAGCGATCAAAGACCAAGTTCTGCCGATGAATAATCTTTCTTCTTCAATTTTGTAAACTGAAGACAACTGTAATAGATTTTGAGTATCATGGCATACATTTTTTTCTTTACGAGTTCAATTTGTGTATTGAATTTCTACGAAATAATAAATTGACTAGCATCTTGCCATTTTCCATAACTAATCACCCTTCCCTTCAGAATTCAAAAGTCCTTGGAAGCATTACTGCATCATGGAGATAAGAGACAGGAATTGATGAATGTTGAAGGCTAAGAGACTAGCAAGCAACATTTATGAGTTGTTGGAGGTATTTACTAATTCTTAGCATAATATTATTTTATTTTAATTTCATGATTAGGAGTATCCTTTGATCAATTTATTTTATGAATTGAGACTAATTTTCTTTTTCAAACAATCTTTGAAGAATGGATTTACCTGGTTAAAATCCTCTGAAATATTGAATTTAATTTAGAAGCTTTAATGAACTCTCATATTTAGAATTATTTTTTATTATCAAGAATTGAATTTCAAATAAAATTCAGTTTCTAAAAATAATAGAAAAGTAAATAACTAATTCCTTTAAAATACCTATCTATCTATCTTTTTTCCTTGATAAGACTTTTGAAGTAAGAAGAAGCAGATGAAATTGAATTCTATATTTTCTGTGAATTCAAGTTAATTATTGACTCGATGAGTGGATTTATTTGCTTCGTGTGCCACGATTTTATGGCCATGGCCAATGATAATTTTTGCCAAGTCCCACGAGTGTGAGGAATGTATAAAACCAAGGACGAGGGAACGAAGGTTGCACCAGCCATATCAGTACCAAGAAGAAGATTATGCAGAGACCAGCAGGCGGGGGAGAATTCCAGGAAGTATTTAACAGTATCTGCAACCCCGACTTTTGCAAGGTAGAGCCAGCAGAAATTACTCATGCGGAAGGCAAGATTAGAGGAGCATCTCCATGGCCTTTGAAGAAAATTTTTCCATGATTCTTTTAGTTTTTTTTTTTTTAAGGGGTTAAATGGAAAACATCCTCATTCAAATTATTTTTATAATACTTGACCGAATTATGATTAGCCTATCAATCTAATTTTATCTTCATTTTTTTTTTATCAAAACATGAAAAAATAAATAAATCTAGTTCAATATAAAATCTAAATGCTTAGATCAAGTTTCAGATTATTAGATTATTGAGTTGATTTTCTAGCTAGCCAAGCTGATTTTTATAACTATGAATCTTATGTTTTGAATAATAAAGTGTTGTGTGTGTGTGTGTGTGTGTAACAAAAACTGAAAATGTAAAAACATCACCATAATAAATTTCTGTATAATGCAGTGAAAATTCATCTTGCATGCAAGACATTAAATAAATATTCTTTATCGAAATAAATAAAAACAATTGAATGATAAATCTTCGAATTCGATTTGAACCATTGAGGATTTAAATATATAGATTGATACTCGAAATTCAATCACAATCCGTTGACAACCTGTCAGGGAAACACAGCAAAATTTTGCCAACCCTAGTTTCTATTCGTAACAACAGTTGCAATGAACACTCGACCTGGCTTCTGATATTCTTCCAGCCACCTTTTGCTTTAATCAGAAGTAAAATTAGCAGACCTCTTTCGTTTAGCGTCATAATTCCCTTCAAGGAATGTCTTCCTGCTTCCTGCTAACCTCTACTTGTAAGAAAAGCACAGCCCATATCGATCAACGAATCATTCAACAAAATCCCCCTCCTCCTCCATTCCATTCACATCCATCAACTGTGAAATGGATAAAAAAGAGCACCGATTCCATTCTCTTGATATTTGCAACAGGCTCTACAACTTTTTCGCGAATATTGTCTCAGAACATGCCTTCAAGACTGTGAAATTAGGTCATCCTATGGCTCAAAACGTAGCCAAACCACAGAATGGAGCCATGGCTAGGGCTATCCATGAAAGTGGTCAAGGGGTGGCACCAGTTTGTGAAGATGTAAAACAAGCCAATTATAGTTTGAAGAACTCTGACACTTTTGCCTCATCTTGCTACTCTAGCAATGATCACGAGCAAGATGGCAAGGAGCTCCACGCGACAAGAGGAAGCACCATTGCCTTATTCACTTGTGCCTCGAGCAAAAACAGCCAAGATCAAGAAAAATGTTATGCATATATGAGAGGGTAGAGGAGATAGACACGAGGAAGAAAATGAAAAGGAGCACATCAACAGAAAAACTGCCTTCAATTGACCCGGAAGAAGATGTTGTTCAGCCAGTAAAATCAATATTTCCTCAACATTGCCAGAACCTTGCAACCAAAACAAACTACAAAGTAAAAATCTAAATAAAATCTATATGAATTCATCAAATTAAACAAAAAAACAAGGTTGAGTAACCAAAAGAAAAGAAAAAACTCTTTTCTTTACTGTGCAAATTAATCTATGATATTAGCAAAAAAAAAAAAAACATAAAAAACTGAATATTTTTCTAAAATTTAAATTTAATATTTGGAGCTCTAATTCTTTTAAATCAATAAAATTTAATTTTATTATGTTAAATCAAGCATTATTAACTAAGTGATGAAATATCCCCCAACATTATGAGTTTCTCATATGCAGATATAAAAATAAATTATCATAAACAATCCCAATTAATTTAATATTAAAAAATAAAAATGAAAAATAATTAAAAAAAATTTATTGTAAGAAACCACAATAAAAATTTTTAGAGGGCACAGTAAAACACTAACGACTTTTAGTTTTTTTTTAATTAGATGAATCAAAATTTAATCTTGAATTGAAAAGTTAGCAAAAAATATCCTAAATATATATAAAATCAAAGAAAGAAAAACTATAAAAACAAATGGAGGAGTGCATCAGCGATGATGCTTTTTCTCTGAGGGGGTCGTTAGGGTTGAATCAAGAACCAAAACCTAGCCAGATTCAATCAATAAGTACATTTCTAGGAATAAAATAAAAGTATAGCATAAACAATTACAAGGACAACCTTCCAAACCACCATCTAACTAATAAATTATTGTTTTTCTAGTCTTGATATATATTTTTTTAATATTACCCCTTCACTCTCGTCTTATTGCATTTTTGGATGTTTATGCCCGCTGTTTGAGAATCCAGCCCTCACAGAGATTTACTAAAATTTAATTTTTATTTAGATATATTTTTAGATAGTTTTATCTTAAAATAAATTTTAAAAAATAAAAAAAATATTAATTTAATATATTTTTTACTTAAAAATATTAAAAAAAAAGAGCAGTCGCAGCACTCTTAAAAACCCCTATGTCATGAGGGGTTAGTTGTTTATTTCATAATTATACTCTCAATATTTTTCTAATATTATCCCTTTAATCTTTCTTTTTGACAAAATCTAATATAATTGTCACTGAAAATTTGGACAAAATCTTATTGGAAGGGTGATATTAAGAAAAAGTTTATAGTAGAGGGATGAGATAAAAAAAAGAGTAGAGGGATCACATTAAGAAAATGTCAAGAGGAGAGGTACGAAATAGGAGACTAATTCCATGAAATAAACATCAAGAATTCATTAAAGTAATCAAAATGTAATAAAACAAGTGTCCTAATCCAAATCTTCTTTCTCTTTGCCAAAACAGAAAGCCAACATGGGTATCTCTTATACACCCCGTCTTTCCACCACTACGCTTGACGTCACTCATTCCTCTCTTTTCCCCTGCACATCAAAAACAAACCCAGGAAAAATATCAGATTCTACTTTTAGTCACACCAATAATATCAGCTTGAACAATCTCCAAAAACCCACAAAAAAGTTTGGATCTTTTTATTATTGTTCACATAACACCACCTGTTTAGGCTCAAAGATTGTACCTTTAAAGTGTTTTGACAAAGTAAGGGAAATGGAGAGTCAAGAGGGAATTGCTCAAAAAACCACGATTGACATTCATGGTATTGATGAAGAGTTGGTTCAAAAGATGGTTTATGATGCTCTTGTTTGGAGTTCTCTTCATGGCCTTGTTGTTGGTGATAGAAGCGTTCAGGTCTGTGGATATATGTCTTTCTGTCAATGAAATTTAACATAATTCAGAGTCATGGTTATGAATGATTGAGCTCTTTCGATTATTGTTTTGATTCACCATGAAGTGAGAGTGTCCTAAATATATATTGGTAGCGATTGCTTGATTAGTTGATAATCATTTGGATAATCGTCTGGTATGTTCTCTCCATTAGTGTTCATGATAATAGTGAAAACCAAAAGTTTACTTTTGGTTCACCCAAGTTTTGTTTAGCGTTGGCATCAAGCTAATAGCATAGTGGCATGTGTAAGGTAAGATAGGAATAATGGTATTATTGGATTTGTAGAGATCAGGAAAAGTACCTGGAGTGGGCATGGTACATGCGCCATTTTCCCTGTTGCCTATGACATTCCCAGAAAGTCATTGGAAGCTAGCATGTGAAGTAGCACCTATCTTCAATGAGCTCATTGATCGTGTGAGTTTGGATGGGAAATTTCTACAGGATGCTTTATCCAGGTACTTTGAGTTATGCATACCTAAATAATTCGCTTTCTTTTGTTTTCAAAGTTAGTAGCAATAATTCCACTAGGCTATCATTTCTAAGATCATGGCCTGATAGATCTCTCTTCAGTACGTCAATCAAAATATCAAATACGGTTATTGGCCCCTTTTGCCAACTTATAGCTGGAACCTTTGGAGTTTTGGTCTGCAACATGTTCGTCTTACCACATTTTGTTTTGCTGAACTTTCTAAATCATTTTCAGAATATTTTGTTACTATTTGTTGTGGTTCCCTTGCATTGCTCAGCTTCATCTCTTTTAATTCAGGGTGTCATTTTTGTCTTTGTTTGAAATTTACTCAATATATTGGTAATCCATGTGAACTGATATTTCTTTTCTGAAACCGCAGAACAAAGAAAGTGGATGCCTTTACATCGAGACTTATAGATATTCATTCCAAGATGCTAGAAATTAACAAGAGTGAAGTAAGTTTATTTCAGTTAGGCATTTATATGTGTCATGTTTGTTAGCTTTGGTTTGTTTAAATTGGATTTAGGGAAACAACTGATTTTCATATGGTTAGTAGATGCTGATTTCTTTTGAACACTTATGCAGGAGATACGCTTGGGTTTGCATCGATCAGATTATATGCTTGATGAACAAACTAAAATACTCCTCCAAATAGAGCTAAATACAATTTCATCTTCATTTCCTGGCCTCAGTTGTCTTGTCAGTGACCTTCACAGGTTAAGGAACTTATATTATCTCTGAATTTTTGTACTTTATTCTTAGCTGTAGTAGCTTTTACTTGAGTTTTGGCTTGGAGTTCAGTTTAAGGACATTATAGGTACTTTTTTGTTTTAATTTTTTTTCTTCTCATAGTGATACTGGATTTATGTCTAGTTATGAATTTGGTCATGGTTTGGCAGATAACATCTAAAAGTAAGCAGTGAAGTAGATTAGGCTTGTTATGGGTAAATTTCCATGTTTCATTGAGTTTGGTGTTGCAGAGTTTACAGAGGAAGCAGGTTGGCAGAGTTTTCAGTTGTGAAATCAAATATAACTCATGTAAACCAGAGGCAGGGTATAGGTTTTAGAATAGCCTAATAGTCACAGGTTTTGTAGCATCCATTTGACATAGCTTTGAATTTTGTTCCATATATTTTGCCTGGGACATTTCAGTCGGTTTCCCCACACTGTCAACCCACTCACCTTCATTAAGTGACATTGAACATCATTATTGTTTTCCAGCCTATCACATCTGTATGCTGAAGTCTTCTAACATTAAGGTGTGCTATGATGCACAGAACTTTGGATTGCAACCATTCATAAGTTCACAAAAGGCAAGCAACCAAGAAACGTAACCTTTCTGTTTATTATTGCAGGAGCTTGCTTAAGTACTATGGAGAACATATTGGATTAGATTCCAGTAGAATACCTGGAAATTCTTCTGCTGATAAGTTTGCAGAGGCATTGGCTAAAGCTTGGACTGAGTATAATAACCCTAGGTTGGATCTGAATTAATGGCTCTTCGTTTCTTTCTGCTTCTAGACTGTCATGGTTAGTAATTTGTCAATATGTTGCACAGGGCTTTGGTTCTGGTGGTTGTTCAGCCTGAAGAACACAACATGTATGATCAACATTGGCTTTGTGCAACATTGGAGGAAAGATATCCTTTTCACTTGCAATATTGTCTCTCATGTGTGGAGTGCCCGTATTGTTTCTGAAATATGTTTTCTTATCACAAAGAAAATCGAGATATAGTTATGGATAGAATAAATATAGACAAGTTTTTTTTTTAATGAATATCAAAAGTTTGAAAAGTGATGACATGCTCATCAATTCCAAAATTTATTTATTGGTGAAGCACAACATCTCAGAAATCACTTTCCAGATAATTAAAATTTAGCCAAAAAGCTTTCCATGGAGTTCAAAAGTGATTTGTTCCTTAGCTTTATAACACACATAATGTCAAAACTATTCGGAAAACATTGGCAGAAATAGACAAGGATGGGGAAATTCTACCAGATGGAACTCTTCTTCTGTATGTAACTTCCTTCATGCCATGGAAATCTAATATCACCTTTCTAGAAGTTTTCTATGTTAGGATTTCTAACTTTAATATGCTAAACATGCATTTGCAGAGGTGGAAAAGAAATTTCAGTTGTTTATTTTAGAGCTGGTTATGCACCTACTGATTATCCTTCAGAAGCTGTAAGAATTTATTCATTTTTTTTTTCTGCTGCTGCTGCTTGCTATCTTGATTCAAGTATGCTCCAAAGATGCTGATTTAATGTTACTTCTATGAATAAAGAATGTTGTTACCTGGAATATGATTGATATTATACCGGTGTTTGATGCTCGTTGTTTTCTAGGAATGGAGAGCTAGGTTACTTATGGAGCAGTCATCAGCTGTCAAGTGCCCATCCATATCTTATCATTTAGCTGGAACCAAAAAGATTCAACAAGAACTTGCAAAACCCAATATGCTTGAAAGGTAGTAAATTTTTACAAGATGAACTCTTCTGCCTTTTTCCAAATCATTGTTGGTTTATGTAATTTCTTTTTTGGCAAATGTCCTCTAAGGATGTTTACCAGAGGCTGAAAAAAAGAATTTGTAATTGTCTAACGCATGTTATTTGTTAAGTGAAGTTGGAATCTAACCTTATGGTTCACAAGGTGAATGATTTTCTTCTTTTTTGACCACAACAACTGCCAAATCTGTATATATTAGTGGCATATGCCTTTGCTTGGAGGCCTGTTGATCTAGCCATCTAGGTTTGCCTCAAGAAACATTATAACACGTTTTCAAGTGCACTTGGTTAGAATTTGAAAGGTATGCTCTACCCTTGCAAATGTTTCTGGGTAGATGGATTCTGGTTGGAGATTATGAGTAGCTCATTGGTCCCTTAAATTTTAGAAGAGAAGCAGCATTCACTGCTCTCAATTGGTGATCCCTTAAACATTGATTTTGTATTTTCGTAGATTTCTAGAGAACAAAGAGGACATTGCCAAATTGCGGAAATGCTTTGCTGGATTATGGAGTCTGGATGATTCAGATATCATCCAAAAAGCCATTGAGAGGCCTGATCTCTTTGTGATGAAGCCCCAAAGAGAAGGCGGAGGTCTCTTATTTCTGAATTCACTTTGATATTCTTCTTCTTGCTGTTGGGTTTGGTGTTTTACAGACAATGAGATCATTTCCTTTCAGGAAACAATATCTACGGTGATGATGTGAGGACAAACCTTCGAAGATTGCAGAAAGAAGGAAGCGAAGAGGATGCCGCTTACATCCTAATGCAAAGAATTTTTCCTATGGTTTCGCCCGCATTTTTGGTGCGTGAGAGCATTTGCCACAAAGATCATGCCATATCAGAACTTGGAGTATATGGTGCTTACTTGAGGTATGCAAACCGTGCATCAAAATATGTCACTATATGGTTTTTTTCTATTAAAATATTTGTATATTTAAAGAGAGAGAGAGAGGAAGGAAGAGAATTTGAATTGACCAATACACCACCAAACATCATTTCTTTCACATTTATGCTTGAAGATTTTGGCATGTGCAGGAACAAGGAGAAAGTTATCATAAATGAGCAGTGTGGATACTTGATGCGGACAAAGGTATCTTCATCAAATGAAGGAGGAGTTGCAGCTGGATTCGCAGTCTTGGACAGTATATACTTGAATTAACAGAGTAGCTTAATAATTTCTCCAAGTGGGTTTATGTTCTTAACCCAAAGACTTAGTGGTTAACTTCGCATGTGTGCTAACAGCATTCAGCACCAGATTTGACAATTGTTCGGATAAATGGGTCCTCGAGTCAAGTTTTTCTCGAGAAAAAAAAAATTGTCCCACCATTTCCATTTTTTATTTACCAGAAAGAAACATTGAGAGGCAGGAGTTCCCTTTCTTACCCTGTTCCCACTTTCTGATGGGTGGTTTTCCTTCCTGGCATTTTTGTAACAAAACATTTGTAACTGTATCAGCAAACAAAGCAATTTGGAACTATACACGGCTACTCAAAATTTAATAATACAGCAACTGTGATAAGTGAAATTCAAGTGAGATTTGTAATTTAATTCAGCTGGTTGGAGCAATTGTATTGAACTCTAGGGGCAATGTTGTGGTGTCTGAATCGTCATATTCTAATGATTTTGCCTCACTGCTCCTCTCGCAAAGAAAAGTAGCATTGTTTTTATTTTTTAGCAGGATAAACTGAAGTACGGCAGGTCGATACTGCAAGCAATGATTTACAATATGTGGCGATAAAATGGGCTGCAGGAAGATATAGCTGTAGAAATTTCTCTGAAAGATATAAAAATTGGAAGAAGGTATTTTCATGGGATGCATACAATTGGGGTCTATGAAGGGATTATGTCAAAGCTTCAAAACGAAACCAATCTATCTCCTTGCTGGACGTCCCTCATTCCCTTGCAACAGCTCAAAGAAAAATCATTTTGTTTTGCAGTACATAAAATTACAAAGAAATGCTTGCATCAAAGTGGTGAAATGAAGAATCATTTATGTATAATCATTCCAGTGTTCTAATTTCTTTTGCATACAAGGCATCCTAATAATGACTCCTTCATATTGAAAAGAGTAGCTAAAAAGTGCAAAAAGAATATTTATATACACAAGAGACCCCTGTAAAAAAGGGTTAAACAAGCAACTCCACATTCTAAAACCTAATGATTTTCTTTTTTTTTTAATTTTTTGATTTGATGGCAGGGGGTATATTTGAGTCTTATGTGTCAAAATTCTTTTCTTTGCTGATCTTAATGGCGCACATCTCCGATCGGATTTGTCTTTTTTAGGCTATGAATAGTGTTATTGTCTGCATAAGTTATATTTTCTCCCCACCCCACTTCTAGAGCTCGTTGCTCCCACAATGCTGTAAGTTTACGCTCCTCTACCAGTCCAGCTTCGGCTCTCTCCCTTCCTGCTTCGCAAGTTTCTGTGTGCGCACTGCATTTTTGTGCTTCGGTTTGATATTGTAAAGAAATTCTCCTAGCAGTTGCTACCAAATTCCTTGTCTGCTCCAACGTTTCATTAGCTACTCTTTTCTGTAAATCAATCTCCTCTGATATTAAATCAGCTACACCCTTATTCATTTCTTCACTTATTTCTGGATCGTGTTTGCCACATTCTGCAAATACAATATAGAAGACTTCTGATAACTTGGTAAAACTAGCTGACAAAGAATACGTGTAAATCATCTTTAGTAGAGTATAAATCTTCCATTAATTGTATATGCAATTAAGATATGGAGAAAGGCGTTCATCTGGTGAAGTGAGCAAATGTTTCAGTATGAAAATCTCATTTACTGAACTTTCCCTTCAATTAGAATTTTGTTAGTTCAAAAGTCGACACAGAAAAGAGGAAGCAAATTTTTTTTCCGATTTCAAAGTTTCAACATGAGGATGTTGAATAGCATGATTTGAGTAACAAAAATCACGTGTATAAAGGGTTAAATGTGGGGACCATTTCATTCAATCTCCAAGGAAAGGAAAGGAAACCACAGTTTAAACAGCAAAGAAAGCAAGAAAGTAGGACTGACCTGGATATGAGTTGTTGATAAATTCTGCAGAACAAGAGATGTTAAAGAAGTTATTGGAAACATCAATGTTTTTAACAGGAAGGAAAGCAGCTAAAGGTTTTCGAAGTAACTTCAGAATACACAGAGACAATCAAGATCAAAATGATCCCTAACAAAAATCCGCCTATGTACCCGATTTCTAGCACGTAGAATGTTAAAAAAAAAAAGTGGCACTGATTTCAGATTCTCTATGTAGAAGTCTACTGCTTCCCTAAAGTATATTTGAACATTTTCATTTCATAAAGGAATGAATTTAGATGCATAATAAAAGGGCATTCTAGCATCCAAATAGATAAAAAAAGGGAGGTATCCTAGCATCACCTTCAACATATAATCAGCACTCAAATGGTGCTATTGTTTAATGATGTTTATGTGACTTGAAAAATACTATTGCAGTTGGTGTTCTGCTTTGATATTCATCGAGTTGAACCAAAAAAAGCCCTTTTAAGTTCAACTCAAAGCAGAAAATAGCCAATATTCCAACACTCTAATTAGCATCAAATGGTTTGATAACACAGTTGAACACTTTCGAACTTAGAAAAGTTTTGCAACCAAGGTGAATTCCTTCAACTTTTCAGCTTGTTAAAGCAGAGATTCATACAAATGTCCATGCTATCTGCCATGGAGACAGTTCTTCACTTAACTAGCAGCATTTCATTGGAGTATGATGCAAATTGATGTCGTGTTTGATGGGGTTGACAGGAAATCTACCATGAACGTACTTGAAGTTGTTCTTTGGGCATGAGCTTGACAAAAGCTAATACTTTGGTGCAATCACCACCATAAAACTAAAAAAAAAAGATGATGAAAAATGTGCATGAAAGGATAGCCTCATAAATTTCTCACAGAAGGATAGTATAACATCGAAGGAGACCTTGTATTCCTGGTACTACTCTGAACTCACAAAACCTTAAGACATTTACTCAATCTAAAATTGGGGTTTTCAATATAACCCATTCAACCTTCAACCTCACAAGCCATACTCAATCAACCAAAGATTTATGCTTTTTCCTTATTTCCTAGCATAAATTGGTGGGACATATCCCTTGAAGGGCTAATCAAATGTACCAGCCTACATTGGAGACTTTTTCTTTTTTTATCAGAATAAATATCATTGAAGAAATTATCCATCATAACATAAAGTGATGTTAATCACATACACAGATTGCTGATTAATCAATTGCCATTTATGAACGCATCAAAAGAGACCATGAAACTGAAAACTAAACTCGCAAAACAAAAATACTGCAATTTTTTTTATACAGAAGTAAAAAATCTACTAAAAGAAGGCACATTTTTATGGTATCAAAATAAATCCAAAAATGCAAACTAACTAATAGCCATGTTTAGAAAGGTCGGTAAGAAGCTTTTACTCACCTAATGTCCATAATAAATCCACTTCAGAGCAATTGCAATCACAAAAGCATGAAGCTTGCGCATCATTTGAACTCCCCTTCGAAAACAATCCAGGTCCAACAATGTAGACAACAAAGAACATAGCCACCAGCGCCAAAACCACCCGTAAAGCACCATTACTAAACCCATAATACTCTGACTTATAAGCCATCTCTGCAGTTCCCTCTTTCTACAATCAACAAACAAAGAAACAAAACCCAAAATACCAAACTTTATTTTTTGCTTTCAAAGAAATGAACTAAACAACCAAAACCCAGATATCAAAAACCAAACTTTTATTTGCAGAACATGAAAAAACACAGAATTTCAAGAGGTGGGTCACGCACAATTTGGAGATCAGGTAGTCCAACTACAAAACTCGACAACGATTCTACTCTTTATCCTTACTAAAAAATGCAACTTCAGCGAATGAATGTGCGTAAAAGAAATGTCTGTTTTTGAGTTTTTTGAGGAGATAAAAGAGACCTCAGATCCCTATAAAGTGAAAAGGAAATTTACAAGACTTGGAAATGAGTGAACTTCTTGTCAGAGAAAAAGAGAGATACTGTGGCAAAGAGAAATTTACAAGCCTTGGAAATGAGTGAACTTGAAGTGGAGCATTAGTACTTAAGTCTCATATTACTAACACTCCATTGCTTTTCTTTAATCATTCTGATTGCTACCTTTGTTGGTGTTAAATAAGATTTGAGAGGCTAATGAAGTTGCAGTAATCTGGTTGTGTTTACAGGCTGTAACTTGGTGTGATCCTTACTTATCAAACAGTTCGAAGAAATACATGAAAAACCTAACTGGAGATAAACGCTTGTTGTTCTTTGATAAGCACAATCAAAATAATAGATAGACACTGTTGTCCATTTTTTGCTGGGGAGGCTTGATTACAATGGATAACGTTAAAAAAAATTAAGCAAGGGCTATATTTGGTTTAAAGGTATTTGATAATAAAAGAGGATCTGCATGAACATTAAAGGCCATGGCCCTTGAGGCAAAAGTTGAGTATTTATCGCTCGGAGGCATTAATCTCTAGCAAAAGTAACGTCCGTGAGAGGAAATCGCCCGCACAACTTGGGACCACAGCTCTACGTTCTCGGATGCCATGCTACGAGGACGTTTGTCGTCGGGTTTAATAACTATGTGTTTGTCATAGCCTTGTGAATTGACAGTTATCTAATATTCAATTGCTTTTTTAAAATATTTTTTAATTTAAAGTGTGTTAACATAGCCTCGTGAATTGACGGTTATCTAATATTCAGTTGCTTTTTAAAAATATTTTTTAATTTAAAGTGTGTTAAAATAGGATTATGTTTTTCAAATTTTTGTTTAATTTTTATACTACCACATTCAAATCATTTAAAAATATTAATTTAATATCTTTAAATAAAAAAGAAATTTGAAAAAACCCTTAAAACCCGGGCGAGACCCGGTTTCTTTTTTTTTTTTCAAATGTAATATTTAAAACCCATTAGTATATATACTCTATATTCTCAAAAAATAAGTAATATTTTTTCAACGTGGGATAAAAAAACTATTTCGTTTAAATTTGGGAATCCACTGAATTTTATTTTAAGATGATTTTTAAAAATATATTTATTATGAAAAAAAATATTTTTGATATTAGTATGTTAAAATAATCAAAAGAAAATTTAGAACAAAATCAAAATTTTAGAAACATGCTTTTAATATATTATTTAATGATTTTGATGTGCTGATACTAAAAAAAATTATTTTTAAATAAAAAATAATCCTTTCATATATATATACTCTATACTCCTATGAAAAAACTTTAAAAAAATAATTACACTATAAATATCAAACATGTACTAAAAAAATATTTGAGAATGCAACTGAGATCATGTTTCCTAAAATATCAATTTTTTAAATTATTTTTTTATATTTTTGAATAGTTTTGATATGCTTATATTAAAAATAATATCTTTTTAATGTGGGATTTGAAATCCTTTCATATATATACTCTATGTTGTCAAGAAAAAAATCATTTTTTTCAATGTGGGATAAAAAATCTTTTCGTAAATCCAAGGTGGGGTATCCAATATTGCCCATTGCCCATTGCCCATTGCAAGTCATAGAAGGCAGGTTTCTTCACCAAAATTACACAAGATAGAAGAAGTTCCTCAGATGTTCTTGCAAGGAAGCCTAATTCAACAAGCTCGAGCTTGCCTGAAGAAATTAATTTTGTTGGATTGTGAATTATAACAACCAAAACATTAGATCATTGACATGCAAATAATTAAGTCTTAATAACATTGCAATCAATTTCATAGCTTGGGGTTCCTCTTTGGGAGATGAACCTAGCGCGGAGTCAAACCCTATAAGTATCGTTTCCGATATGTTTTGCCATAAGAAAACTACAATTAGTGCAGATTGAATCGAAGAACTTTCACTCAAATATCGAGGAAGCCTATTCTCACATACCTGAGGAACCATTTTCTTTGTCTGAGTCTGCTGCATGATCAAACAATTGGATAAATTTTGCAACTAACATGAAATATAATTAAATGATGAAATAGCACATATTAATAAAATATTATATTTTTCAATCGTGTTATTTTCAAGAAAATTATTTTAAGAAATGATTCAATATTTGATAAAATATTTAGATTGAAGCCAAAACGATCAGAATATTTTGACTATTGTTAGGTTTTGGGTTATTTTTATGTTTGAAGTTGAAAAAATTTATAAAATCACACTTTTTGTTTATTTGAAATTTTATTTGTTTTATAATTTTAAAGAGTTAAAATATTTATAATTTTATCAAAATTTGAAGAGGGTTTCCTCTGTATAATAACTATATCCAAAGTTTTATCCCACTTAAAAAATCTGCAAAAAACCACGTTAATTTGAATCAACAAATTCTAACTAAACTCAACATATTTTTATATTCTATAATCATAAATAACCACATGAATGCAAGAAAAATAACATATATATGCAAAAAGTTGAAACAAGATTTACGATTAATTTAGGAGGCTTAAGCTACAATAGTTATCTTTTATATTTATATGATTAGAGCAATATATAATAGTTATTGTATAGCGCATGACGTAGTATAACTCTATACAAGAAAAATATAATATCTTTTAAATTACAAAACATTCTACAATACAAAATGAATATAAAATAATTTAATAATACAATATTCTAGTAATCTAAAAACATATAAATATGACTTATTTATCTATTTATATTTATATTATTTATTAAATGATTTGAGCTCATTACTAGCACAATCATATTTATTTAATTAATGTTATATTTTAAAATCACAATATTTAATAGATATTATATTTTAAAAACACTATAATGTAAAACTATGTCATTTCACCGTATCCTTTTCAAACGACATCAATTCCTCAAATTTTTTTGACTTTATTAGCTAATTTGAAAGGAAAAAAAAACCCTAAAAAAAGCATCAAGATACCAAGGACATCTTCGATCCAATCACCTGGTGGCGGAAGGAAGGGGGGCAAGCAGGGGCCCGGGCTCCCCTAAAAAGAGATACATGTTATTGGGTAATTAAACGCAGAGAAGGTTTTTTATTCTAAAAAGTGAGTTTTTTTTTTACCATAATTAAGTGTGAATTTTCAATTTGATGTTCTTTGAATTATTTTGTGCAGCCCTAATATAAATCCTGTAAAAATAAAATTATTACTTTGCACAACAAATTTTGCATCCAGTCAAAAATAAAAAATACAAGTAAATTTTTTTAACAAAAAAATTGAAGCAGAGCTATTAATTAATTTATTTTCATCAAACAAAACAAGGTAACTTAAATTTAAAATCTATTTTTGTTTTGTTTTGAGATGTTTATTAATAATTTGATGAGGTTTTTTTTATAATTCTATTATTTTTGCTTTATTTTTTTCTCAGGTTTGGTAGTTTTACAAATTGTTTTTAAAATTCTTATTATAGTGTTTTTTTAATTAATTAGATATATTTTATTGGTTTGTTTTTATATACTTGGATTTTTTTAATGTTTTGTTTTAGCAGAGCCGCTAAAATTATCAATTTTTTCTCACGATATATGTTTTGATTTTAAGTTGAACCATGAACAAAATTAGAAGAATTTGATTATTTAAAAAAAAATATTGATAACTCGCAGCCTAGTGAATCAACTCTAATGTGTAATAGTAAAGTTATGGTTGAGCAACTCCAATGCGCTTCGGTTTATAAAGAACCCACGTTGATTAGTGAAAATCATTCTTTATTATTTTTTGTTTTATTTCAAAGTTTATCGAACATAAATAATGCTTCGCTTTAGCTAATGATTTTTATATACTTTGTATGTTTATATTTGATAGGTATAAAGACCAACAATATTAAAGTGATGAATATATTATGAAGATGAAATTAACTTCGTTATTTTAACTTAATTTGGTATTGTTTTGAATATTTTACCTTATATAAAGGTCATTATATGCTTGTAATAAGTTATTTGAATACAACTAAATTATATAGATTTTTTTTTTCACAACTAATATATAATAAATTAAAATAAATATTATATTTTATTATATTAATTTTAACCCCTCCTAACAAATAATCCCAGCTCTCCCCTGCAGTCACCCCGTTAACATTTATCCGCAACTTCTGATAAGCAATCCTTTCAGGAAAGGGTCCCCATTCTAGCATTTCTTCCCCCTGTGTGATGGATGGCCATGCTGTATTCTTCACCGGGCCCTCTGCATTCTTCGAAACTCACAGTTCGCAGGATTATTTAAGAACTCAACTTGCTCGACTGCCCACTTGAACCACTTCATAAGGATTACTCGACAAGTTATCACATGTGAGATACCATTCTAAGGTTTAAGTCATGGGCATGATCTTCGTGAAGCCTATTCAAGTCCATGTCCCCCCACATATATTCAAGAAACCTGTGAGGAAAAAAAAAGAAAAAAAAAAGACGTATTCTTTCTGTTATGAAGGGTTTTATTTTTTTTCATGCCAGTAACCTGTAAAACAAGAGTTCAGTTTTTGTAATAGATTCACCACTTGATGATCACTACATCAAAAAACACCCAGAAAAAGAAGCATGAACCAAAGAAGTTTGAGTCTCACTTCTACCATATGTCACGCAAAAATAAGAACTCGCACACCAAGCTAGAAGTTCTTTTCTTAATCAGGAAAACAGACATTTGAGGTTCAAGGACTACAAGACTAATTTTGAAGGATTTCTCTCATGAATTTACCTGTAGATCCCAGTAAAGAAAACCACATGGGGTGGCACCAAATAAAAAAGATTCGTGAATTCCCCCGTCGGAAATCTAATTTCGTTAATTGTAGCCAAAACTTCCCAATAATTTGCACACTTGATACTTTCTAAAATAATTTGTATTTAGATCTTATATAGAAAATAAATAGATTAAAATATATCTTCTATTGTCAAAATAATTCTTATTTTTAAAATTTTGATATTTTTAAGCTATGATGCATTTGAAATTTAGCATGTTTCATAATAATTTAAATTAATGTTTGAAAATAATATAAATTATATACTGAAGTCTCACCTAACAGCTTTAAATTATTGGTTTAAGATGGTTCTTTGACATAGTTATCCTACTATACCGAGGGTTGATGAGTTATGTTAATTGACTCAAGTTTTTTTCTCTTATTCAATATTTGAATTGATTGAAAATTAAGTATCATAATTTGTTTTGGTTTATTTGCCCTCATTTCATGACTTAGGTTACAAATTTGACGGGTTATCCAAGGTTAACTAAATTGATTTTTGATGTCCTTTTATTAATTGTTTTTTTTTTCAATTTAATATTTTAACACTGGATTGATTGAAAATTAGGTTTTATAATTTATTTCAATTTGTTTTCTTCTGAGTTATCCTAATCATATGACTTAGATTGCGAGTTTAGCAGGTTGACTCTAGTAATTTTTTAGATTATTTTTTTAATTGATTTTTTAAC